AACCCATAACCCTTCCTTTTGATCCTTTGGCCCCAGGGGCAATGGAAGGAGGTGTTTGAAAAATAAAACAGTCGTCATTTACCACCATCTTAAGGCACTTCCCCACAGGGGCCATTCAGTTGCTTCACTAAGTGATTTTTCTCCTGTTTTCATAGTCAGAAAAATGCCTATCATTTTAAATATTTTTTTCTCATTAAGAAAAAAATTCATGCCAAGTGTGGTGGTGCACATAGTTAATCCCAATACTCGAGAGGCAGAGACAGGCAGATCTCTATGAAGGCAGCCTGGTCTACAGAGTGCGTTCCAGGACAGCCAGAGGTACATAATACAGAAACTTTGTCTCAATGAAGAAGAGGAGGAGGAGTAGGAACAGGGGAAGGAGGAAGAAGATGATGAAAGAGGAGGAGGAAGAGGAGGAGGAGAAGACTCCTCCTCAGTGTGGGAGAGATGGCTCAGAGGTTGTTGCTCTGGCTGCTCTGGGTTCAGTTCCCAGCACCTATAGGAAGGCTCCCAATCACCAGCAATTCCAGGTTCAGGAGATCCAGACATTGCACACATGTGGTGTCCACACATACATGCAGACAAAACGTTCATACATATAAAATAAACTTAAAGAATTCAACATATAAAAATATAGAAGAAAGATTTTTTTTTTTTTTTTTTTTTTGGTTTTTCGAGACAGGGTTTCTCTGTGTAGCTCTGGCTGTCCTGGAACTCACTCTGTAGACCAGGCTGGCCTCGAACTCAGAAATCCGCCTCCCAAGTGCTGGGATTAAAGGCGTGTGCCACCACCGCCTGGCCACAAAGTAAATTCCTTAATGTCATAAAATAACTAATTAAAATAAAAAATTTCCCTATTTCCTTATATAAACACTGTTTGCCTTGGAGCCCAGATCACCACCATATTTCTACCCGGTTGTCCTGTCTCTTACATTTTGAGAAATGTCACTTGGGTCCTCCTACTGAGGTTCTTTGGTTGATTATTCAAGAAAATTTCAGGGCCAGTTCTCTGAGCTCACACATTTGTGAAACACTCTGTTAGAGGGCAGCTTGATTGTGTGTAAAACACCCATCTCACCTTTACCTCCCTTGACTCTCTTAGATATTGCGAATCTGTTTACAGGTGTGGGCTACCACAGCCAGTTCTAGGCAGTGCTGAGGACCAAGCCCAGATCCTGATGCATGCTAGGCAAGTATTCTACCACCCAAGCCTCACCCCCAGCCAGGACCTTCAACAGGAAACCTTAGCGCTGGGGAGAATCTGCCCAAGAGTCCCTAAAAGTTTCCTGCCAAAGCTCTCACATTGGACCCAAGTTGTACACAAAGAAAACAAGTGCAAATAAGATATGGTTGTTCACATAAAAAGTCCATTGAAAGGGTTAAAGAATGGGCTCAGTAGTTCAGAGCACTTTCAGAGGACCGAGGTTTGATTCACAGAACCCATATGGCAACTCATAGGTAACAGTACCTGGGGATCTCTCTCTCTCTCTTCTGGTAAACTGCATTCATGGGGTGCACATACATATATACAGGCAAAGCACTCAAACACATAAGGTCATAAAATGAATCTAAAAACAAGTTTAGTGTCATCAAGACAGAGCTGAGGAGGTAGAAGGTTTTGTTTTTCAGTCACATTGGAAATATAACAGGAGAGAACATTTTAGAGGCACGCACGAAGCTCTAAAAGGTACACTGGGAAACTTCCTTCCTGTATGAAGGGAGGGAACTCCTGTCAAATCCCATGCAAGCTGGCATACAAAAACAAAAATTAAAGAGAGAAGCTGAGGTAGAGCATTCCTTTAATCCCAGCATTGGAGAGGCAGAGATAGGTGGATCTCTGTGAGTTCGAGGCCAGCCTGGTCTACAAAGACAGACCAAGACAGCCAGGGCCCTGTTACACTAGGAAACCTAGTCTCAAAAAACCAAACAAACAAACAAGCAAACAAAACCAAAAGAGAGAGAGAGAGAGAGAGAGAGAGAGAGAGAACACAAAGCAAAGGTTCCATGGACAACAAAGAATTGCCAGAAAGATACTCACAAAACACAATACAAACAAAAAACAAAACAAAATAAAAAACAACAAGGAGGCCAATATTTCAAAACAACCCAGTAGAACTTTTTAAAATATAAAGAATGCAGAACACCAACTAGGTTAGGGAGATGGCTCAGCAGAGACAGGCTCTTGTCACCAAGCCTGATGATCAATCCCTAGAACTCACGTGGTAGATGGAAAGAATGAACTCTTGAAAATTATTCTCTAACCCCTCCACTCATGACATGTGTTCTCCCCCACAAAAAAAAAAATATTAAAACAAAGAAATGTAAAAGAAAAATATTTAAAACAGCAACATACATAAAAGTGAGGAAACCTTAGAAATAAAGTTACTGGGACAACAGGAATTTTGAAACAAAACACAGAGCCCAGAAACAAAGTAGAACAAAAAAGAGAAAGGAAGATGAGACTATAGCTCGGATGGTACATGCTGGCCTGGTGTGCATGAGGCCCCGAGTTCAGCGTCCAGCATCACATAAACCAGGCACGGTGGCGCTTGCCTGTAATCCTAGAACTCAAGAGACAGAGACAAGAGATCAGAGATGAAGGTTATCCTTGGCTACATATCAAGTTTAAGGCCAGCCTGGGGTACTTGAGACCCTGTCTCACATGCATACATATATACATACACACATACACACACATGCATACATATATGCGTGCATACATAATTTTTAAAACAGAGTGTTCATATAACTGTTCACTTTCATAGAACAATAAGTGCTCATGAAACAGGAGATGGAAGCATGGCTGTGCCCAGGCCTTGGTTTGCCAGCCTTTCTCACCATCACTGCCATTGTCAAGTCAAAACTGAATGCCACAGCCTGGGACACACGTGAATGTGATGACAGTTATCCTTCAATAGGGATATAGATAGCACTTGCCAGCCTGGGCACCAGGCCATTGATTGCTCATCAAGATAAGAAGTACAGAATGCCGGTCTGGAGCCTGTGAAGAAATGGATATGCCGGGCACCCGTTCACATCACTAGCAAGCTGATGTCACACTAGCCCCTCCTGAAGGGCCCAGGTGTAAGACCGCTCAGTGTCTTCCACTGGAGTCTCCCAAGGACAGATAGTGGATGTAGGCATGCTGAGACTGGGCTGGGGGATCTAAATGCTCACACTTTCAGGCTTCTTTCCCATGCCTTCGTGGCTTATTGATCTGCCCACTTTCAAAGGGGGCCAGTAGGCAAAGATAGGGTTGGACCTTGAAAGACCTTGGGATATTGACCTCAGGGAGCCATTGGTGTGTGATGCAGTCTCAGACACATTCCTGGAAATTGATCATCCGAAAACAGGCTGGCTGGGGAAGCATGTCAGCGGACTGAGGTTACAGAGAAAGAGAAACAGCTCCTTCCCTGACATAAGCAGTGTTTAGACGGCCTGAATCCTTCTAGATGAATAGAAAGGTTGAAATAGTTGCAAGCAGTCTCGAGGGAAGCAAAGGTCCCTTCCAAGTGGCAGAATGAGACTGTGGTTCTCACTGGAAGCGACCTGCCTCGCTCTCTTGGGAGACACACAGAAAGGTCGCTGTCAGGCCAGAAAGGGGTGTTCTCAGGTTTCCCTCCCAGGCACTGCAGTTAAATCAGAGAGAGGACAAAGCTCCTGAGTGGAAATGATCTTTGTATGCATGGGCTTAAATGGAGCCTGGGGCATTCGTAACGGCAAAGGCTTTACAGAATTATCCTTTCCAAAGTAGACATCTTATAAATATTTGTTGTAGAAAGAGGACAAACACAAAAGGTATAAATAACGAACATATGGACAAATAAAGCATCCATGAGCCAAACAGAGAATAGCCAAAACTCAAGTCAATGGCTTCCTTGTGGGGGCAGTACTGAGGATCTGAACCCAGGGCCTCGACCTCCAGTGCTCAGCCACTGAGCTACCCAGTGCTAAGAAAAATCTACTGAACTTTCTAATTCATATTCCCTCTCCATCTCCCTCTCCCTCTCCCTCTCCATCTCCCTTTCCCTCTCTCCTTTTCTTCCCTCCCCCCCCCCCCACCCCCATCTTCTCTCCTCTCCACCGAAAGCTGAGTATGTAACCTGGGAACTACTCCCTCTGGCAACACTATGGAACTGCCAATAGATCCCCTATTGATTGAGCCCAGGGGAACTGAGTATAAAGTTGGAGAATTAATTTTCCCCGTCTCTGGATATTCCAGTGGGTCATAGTCTCTCTCGTTTTTAATTTTTGGAATTTAGCTCCCGTGTGAAAGGTGATCTAGGGCTGGGGATGTGGCTCAGTTGGTAAAATAAGCGTAGCAAGCCTGGGGCCCGGGTTCCGGGTTCCATCCCTAGCATGGAGGAAATGCGGGCATAGTGATACACACAAGTTAATCCTAGCCCTCAGGAGGTGGAAACAGGAAGGTCATCTTTGATTTAGATGACAATTTAGTGTCTTCTTTGGCTATGCAGAGAGGGAGTTCAAGGCCAGCCTGGGATCCACCTTGGAAGAGTTGAAGACCAGAAGGGCCTCACTCACAGGCAGATGTCAACACCTGGCCACAGCTGTGCATATTACGCCCTCATAAATTACAGCACCATGTTTCTTCACGGAGCATGGTGGTGTTCTGCCAGTTCCTGCACACAGAGTCTGAGTGGACACAGTGTGAGGCAGGTACTAGAGACGCAATGTCCCATGTGTCAGCCCATCAGCCCTCTTGAAGCTCCCATAGGTAGAGAGAATAGCAAGTGGGAAGATAGAAAGCTGGGGTGGTGACAGTGTAGTGGTACATGACTATACCCAGGAGGCTGAGGCAGGAGGATCACAAACTAGAGTGCCAACCTGAGCATCATAATGAGACCTTGTCTCAAAACCAAACCAGAACCAAGCCAGACAGGAAGCTGGAGTGACCCCTACAATGTAAGGAAAATCCTGTTGTTAGTTTCTGTTTGATTTAGCACTAGAATCTATAACCGAGTGTTGGCATCCTTTCCTAGATATCAGTGAATGCTCCAGCCAGCCTTGTCACAATGGAGGGACGTGTGTGGAAGGTGTCAACCACTACAGATGCATCTGTCCTCCAGGAAGAACTGGGAACCGCTGCCAGCATCAGACCCAGGCTGGTATGTAGCCACTGTGGGACACGGTGAGGATGATTCCCTTGGGGCTGGCAAGGATACTGATCATGGTCACCAAAGGCAGATGTGGTGGGAACTCTGTGCCTCTCATGACTTAAGCTTTTCCCTCTGGTTCCCACCCACAGGCTGATCCCTCTAGGACCCTAAGGTGCTCACGCGGGTGAGCTTAGCTCTTTTTTTTTTTTTTTTTAAATAACCAGAGTTTTGATCCTTCTCTTGGAGAGTCAGACTCCAAATTAACATCCTGCAGATTAGGGGCATGGCCTGGGAAGATGCACTAGGGTACCTTTGCCTAGTTAGTGTTTCATCTGCCAGGAGAGAATCACTTTCCCTTCCAGTGTTCCCAGCACACCCTGCAAGTCAGCAGTACAGGGTGTTTTAAGATATGAATGAGCAGACATTTGATTAATGAGTCCCAGCACAGGGCAAGAAAACCTAGTGATAAGAAACCTACGAAGGGTGGGGTTGGGGGCTTCACACTATTCTCCAGCCAAGAAGTTCAACCCCAACAATGTTTGGCTGTCTTATTTCTTGGTAGACTCCATGTGGAGGATGGGCATTGGTGGATAGTGTAAGATCCAGAGAATAAGAGCTGACAAGCTCTTGGGGCTGGAGACAGAGCTCACTTTGTAGGTGCTTGTCCGTGACGCAGGAAGCCACGCATTTGGTTTTTAGCATCACCTGATGTTGGGCATAATGGCGTGCTTCTGTGATCCTAGCACCTGGCAAGGAGAAGCAGGAGAAACAGATTTTTAAGGCCATCCTTGGCTTCATAGCAGAGTCTAAGCCCAGCCAGGAACACAGGAGACCTGCCTCAAATAAAATAAAACAAAACCACTTTATAGCCTTTATGGCAGCCAGACCTAGGTCAGGGCTAAATAGTGTACCCACAAGCTTGCTGCTCACTGTGTCTTAACAAAGTTGGACTGGCCTGCCAGATCCTTTCTCACAAGGAAGCTGCCCCCAAAGGCTTCCTACAGCTCTGCTGTCTAGAGTTATCTTCTGTTGAAGCATTGCGGAGGCAGGGCTTTCCTGGAAGCCCACTGACTCTGTTTACAAAGAAGCACAGCAACAAGATCCCCTTGCACCTCAGTGATGCCCTACTGGCCACTAAATGCCCCTATTGGGGGCCTTCTGCTGTGGGACCATTGGGTCATTGTTTCTCAGGCCCCAGGATCATTTTATGAAGTATCCCCAGGGATGGAAAGTGAGGAGTAAGCAGGTATGCATGACAAAATGACCCAACAAGCTCACCTAGAACCTTCTTTCCCATCAGTTGGATGACACCTCTCTCCCAGTATCCTGTAAGCCTCTCCCAATATTTTTTTCTAATTTTTAATTTTTAAATTTTGTGTGTGTGTGTGTGTGTGTGTGTGTGTGTGTGTGTGTGTGTATTTCTGCACTTGACTGCAGTACCTGTGGAAGCCAAAAGGGGGCTTCTGATCCCCTGGAAGTGGAGTTACAGGCAATTATAAGCATCCAGATGTTGGTGCTGAAAATCAAACTCAAGTCCTCTGAAACAGTAATTCTGGCTCTCTCCAGTCCCCACCGTTATCATTTTAAGATTGAGGCTGGCCTTGAATTAGATTCAGGAGATCCTGCCTTGGCCTTGAGAATAACTACAAGAATTATTTTTTAAAAAATCCATTCTCCAGAGTTAGAGAGATGCTCAGAGGTTAAGAGCACTTACTGTTCTTGTAGGGGTAGGCAAGGGTTCCCAGCACCCACATGGTGGCTCAAGGCTACCTTTAACTCTCCAGTTCCAGGGAGATCAAGAAATCCTCTTTTGGCCTCCAAGAGCATCAGGCACCACAGGGGATATGTATATGTATGCATATATGTGTGTATATGTATATATATATATATATATTCAGGCACACATAAAATAAAAATTTTTTTAAGACCCATTAGGCTGTGGTGGTTAGCCCTTTAATCCCAGCACTCCAAAAGCAGAGGCAGGTGGATCCCCAAATTCAAGGCCAGCCTGATATGTAGAGTGAGTTCCAGGACAGCCCAAGGCTACACAGAGAAATCATGTCTCAGGGAAACAACAACAACAACAACAACAAACAAACAAACAAAAAACAAAATCCTTTAATCCCAGGACTCGGAAAGCAGAGGAGGTTAAAGGCCAGTCTAGACTACACAATGAGTTCCAGGATAGCCAGGATCATGATCTTGTTTGTTTGCTTTTTATCCATTTACCTTATTTTTTATTGTGGTTAGGAAACTTAAGTTCTGGTTTTGGAAAGATGCAAAAACTGTAATAATAAAACAACTACCTTGAAGACCTTGAAGAAGCTGCAAGCTTGTATACACACGCAGACCCCAAATAGAAAAAGTGGAGGCTCAGAGTTTTAAACTCTAATGCTCACTGCGTTGTGGCCGTTGTACAAGATTCTCAAAATGAATTTCAGACTTGACACTGCAGTATGCCTGGCTGTCCCGCCTTTACATTCCAATCTCTTACCCTGTCCGGGTCACAGTAGCAGTCGCTCGGTTTAGGTTAATCACTGACATTCCTTCCCTGCTATAGAATATGCCCTGGGAGATAGGGTCTCACCGATCCTGGGGTGCACGGCAGGTTCCAGGGGTCGGGGCGCTGAGCGTGTTTTCTTCCCGCAGCGGCCCCCGACGGCGGTGTGGCCGGTGACCCCGCCTTCAGCCGCGCGCCCCGCTGCGCGCAGGTGGACCGGGAACAGCACTGCAGCTGCGAAGCGGGATTCCACCTGAGCGGCACCGCGGGCGGCCACAGCGTCTGCCAGGGTAGGCTGGGGCTACCGGGGGAGCGGGGCCGCAAGCTTAGGAGGAGATCCCAATCCTGAGGCGGAGCGCAGGGGTGGGACCAAAGGGTCTTCCTGGGCGTAGTCTCAGTGAGACCCGTGATTTAGGTAAGAGTCGCCAAGATGATCGAAATGAACAGGTAGACGTCAGGAGTGTTCTGGAGAAAAAAGTGTTCGACCATCTTGGTTCTCTTCCTCATCTATCCGTTTTATCTTTCTACGGTTGGGGCCTAGTAGGGTGCACCAGGGCCTTCTCTTTCTTCTTATAGACAACAGATGGAGATATGCAATCAGTCTCTAGCACGCACATTCGTCCGATCCCATCACCGTTTAAACTGGGAGGGATATGGGTATAATCCCAACATTTAGGAGATGGAGATAGGAGGATAAAAAGTTCAAGGTCATCTTCTACTACTTATGGGGGGTAGGGAAAGAAGAAAGCAGCCAGGGTGACAGGCTTGTCCTCTGACATAGCCTGGAGCTACTATGCCCAAGAGGAGCCTTTTGCCCTGTCATGTGCAGCCCCTACCACCACACCTCTGGCAAAAACTCTATGAGCTGGTGGCAAGAGAGGAGCTCAGATCATGTATGGCAGCCAGGGCCATGGATGTGGTCACAGCCTGAGACTCATTCCCCCGTCTCTTCCTCTCAGGTTAGCCCACTATAGAGCAGTTCCACCCTGAGACCTGGTCAGCTAGTGCTAAGAAGCTCATTTCACAGCATCAGAAATAAACACTCCCCACCCCCTTTTAAAGAGGCATCTCAATGTACAGGCCAGGCTGGCCTCAGATGGAGATCCCTGCATCAGCCTCTCAAATGCTAAGATCACAGGTCTGCAGCTCCCCCACAGGCTGCAGGACTCTCTCACTCTGTTTCTCTATTGCCGAAGATGAGGAGATCTAAGATAAGAGTCTGAATCTGGTTCTAGTCTCTGAGCTGGGTACCTGACTCACTAACCTTTGTAGAGCTTCCCACTTACACTGAGGAGCCCTTCTGGCGTCTCCACATCAGCTCCTCCCTTTAGCTCTATTGGTCCTAGACTGGGTTGAGGGGTCCTCTGCTCATTGCTGTGTCTAGCCACTTAGTCACAGCTGCTGAGTCTGGTTGATGGAGGCTGTGTAGCCTCCTGGAATCATGGGTGCTTTTATCCCCAGATGTGAATGAGTGTGAGATCTATGGGCAGGAAGGACGCCCCCGGCTCTGCATGCATGCCTGCGTGAACACCCCTGGCTCCTACCGATGTACCTGCCCGAGTGGATACCAGATCCTGGCCGATGGGAAGAGCTGTGAGGGTGAGTGAGACTGTGTAGAGGCTGGTGACCGTGAGGCTAGAGGTCACCTCCACATCTGGTCACCTGCTGCTGCTGTGACCCCTGCTCTCATCCCTGATTCCCATTCAAGAATGATTAGATTAAGAGAATCAAAGATCTGGGTACACATTTGATCTTGAAAACGAAGTTAACAAACAGGTCTTCCAAAGGTCAGGCTACATATCCTACACAAATGGGTTGGTTAATCACCCAGCGTCTTCTGACCTCATGTGAGTGACATTTCTGGGTAAGACCACTTCCTCTTATTCAGCAATGCCTTCATCCAGACCTGAACCCACAGGCCAAGAAGCCAGCCAGACTCCACTTTATTAGAATCTGAAGGGACCTAGGAGGCTCCATGGCCCTGTGTGCACACATTCTAGTGTCCTCTGACAGGAAAGGGACCTTATGGGCACTGTACCTCAGCATGGCCAGGCTCTGCAGCCATGACCATGTGTGGTGGCTATTTAAGAACACCAGAGAGCCACCAGGGTCAGGACTCATAAGGGCCTGGCTAGTTGTGACTGGAAGGGTTCATCTACCTCTAGAACTACACACAGGCCGAAAAGAGAGACCACGGCTGCTCAGGCCTCCATTTGCCAAACTCCACTAAATGCCAGAGTTCTGCAAACAAGAGGGCCTGGGAGCCAAAAGGCCTGGGAGCCTGGGAAGATAACCCAGGCCAGTCAGTCTCCCAGGAGTGCACTGGAGGGTGGGTTGTAGGTTAAGGAGGGAAGAGAAGGAGGGAGGGTGGTGTGGGTGGTGGGTGGGATGGTGGTGGTGAGGGAGGGAAGAGGGAGGGAAGAGGGAGGGAGGGAGGGAAAAGAAAGGAAAAGACAAGAAAAGAAAGGAAAAGAAAAGGAAGGAAAGGAAAAAAAAAAGGACCCACCTGACTTAGGTCCTCCCTCAGTGCTATATACCCATGTGGCTCCTCAGAAGATAGGGCTGAAATTTATCTCTTTCTAGTCATGGTGCAAATAGGCACCATTATCAGCAAATCAAGGAAGATTCACAGCCTTCGTTGTATCTCCCGCAATACAGATGTTGATGAGTGTGCGGGCCCACAGCACATGTGCCCCCGGGGGACCACATGCATCAACACCGGAGGAGGCTTCCAGTGTGTCAACCCTGAGTGTCCTGAGGGCAGCGGCAATATAAGCTACGTGAAGACATCTCCCTTGTGAGTATATCCAGGCTGGACAAGCATGACCCTTACTCATTGTGGCTGGGTTAGGTTCTTCTGATAGGTTCTGGGGAGAGGAGAGAATTACATAATACACAGGAAATATGAAAGACAGAGATGCTTCTCTGAGCTTTCATTTCCCCTATAACTATCAACTCACATGAAATACAGACATTTTGTTCTCCAAAAGAGATACTAGCATCTATGGGAGTGTGGCCTCTTCAGAGGGTAGGTAGGGCAGCCCCTCTTGAGTTTTCCCAAGTCTAACTCCCTCCATTTGCCTCTGTTCCAGCCAGTGCGAGAGAAACCCATGTCCCATGGACAGCAGACCATGTCGCCACCTGCCCAAGACCATCTCCTTCCATTACCTCTCTCTCCCTTCCAACTTGAAGACGCCCATCACACTCTTCCGCATGGCCACAGCCTCAATTCCTGGCCATCCTGGGCCCAACAGCCTGCGCTTTGGGATCGTGGGTGGGAACAGCAATGGTCATTTTGTAATGCAGCGCTCAGACCGGCAGACAGGAGAGCTCATCCTTGTACAGACCCTGGAGGGGCCTCAGACTCTGGAAGTAGATGTTGACATGTCAGAATACCTGGAACGCTCCTTCCAGGCCAACCACGTGTCCAAGGTCACCATCTTTGTGTCTCGTTATGACTTCTAAGGATGCCATGGCAGTCGGGAGGCTGGGGTTTGAGATCTGGGCTGATTTCTCTTCCCCAAGAGCTGTGGTGATCATTTCTCCTCTGTCATGTTCCCACCTTCTCTGCCTGCTCACTCAGGCTTCTAGAGCAATGTTGTGTTCTGACCCAGGGTCTGTCACAGAAGGGAAGCCACAAACAAAAGCTGTTTCCACCATCACACTGCTTTTTTTTTCTGCTTTAAGCCCACCCCTACCCTATTAGGAGACAGCACAGAATTTCAAAATGCTATGTAAATGACCATGTGAGTTTGAACCAGCTGAAGTGGGGAGAGAAGCTCCTGGTGTGTGCTTGAAACAATAGCCAACTGTTCTGCATTGAGTTCACCGAGCTTTTTCTGGCTGAGCATGTTCTAACTCTGTGGATGGTCCTAATGCCCCTGTGAGTTACCTACCATGACACTTTACCCTGTGACATTCCAGCCAACCTTCTCATCAGCAAGCTATAGGGAAGCCTAGCAACCCAGAGTGGATCCTTCTAGACCAAGGAGTCAACATTAAGTCATGGATTTTGCCAGTTTCTTCACTTGAGAGAAAACATGTCTCAAAAACATGATCTGGTTTTATGTCTGTGGAACTAGAGTCTGTTTCTATTCTCTGCCCATCTGACTTCTCCTTGAGTGTGCGAGCACCTTCTAGGAAGGGATAGCCCTCTGTCTGCCCAGTTGGACGTGGAGGATGGAGAGAGTAAGAGAAGTGATGTGTAAGATTGCTCCAGTAGTTTCAATATGAGTTGGTCACATGGGAGACTGATAAGGCCAGCATCTGTCCATGGAATGTTTAAGAGAATACTCAAATTGTCTTTCATTCCATGATTTCTTCTTTAGTTGGAAGAACCACGAGAGTTGATGGCTTCCACATGAATGAATCAGGAGAACTCCGTTGAGTAGTGAGAACTGGGTGGTACCATTCCAGTTAAAACTTAGAAGCTGAATGGATTGAGAGGAGTTTCAATGTCCAAATACATGCTAATCTACTGAGAAAGTGCTTTATATACATTTTATCTTAAAAATTATTTCTTGAGGATGGGACAGGCTGGCTGAGTTTGAGGGCAATATGGATGACATAGTAAGACTATGTTTCCAACAAAACAAGACAAGAAGTGAACTAGAGCTGTAGCTTGGTAAGAAGAGTTATTGTCAAGTGTGCACAAAGCCCCACGTTCACTTCCTTGTACCACATAAAACTGAACACAGTTGCACATATCTCGGCTACATAGCCAGTTTGAGGCAGACCTGGACTCATGAAACCCTGAATCAAACAAAAACAGAAAGAAAATCCAGGTCTCCATTTCCCATCTAGATAAATCTTTGTATCTGTCTTGACATCATCTATGAAGCACGTCCCTAGCTTAGCAATAAGCCTTGTATGACAATCCTAGGAGAGTTTGTACCTGGCCCCTTTTGTGAGACAAAGACTGAGAGTCCTCCCATGGCTTCAGCTGCAGTTTCTAACAACAACAACGGCCTGAAGATCTGCTTTTCCAGGTTGTTACATGACTCATTAAAACAATTTTCAGAACCTTGTGTTTCTAGATCAGCAGTTCTCAACCTGTGTGTCCATACCCCTTTGTGGGGGTCACATGACTGTTTCATTGGGATCACCTAAGACCATCGAAAAACACAGATATTTACATTATGATTCATAATGGTAGCAAAACTGGTCATGAAGTAGCCATGGAAATAATCTTATAGTTGGGGGTCACCACAACATGAGGAACTGTATTAAAGGCTCATAGCATTGGGAAGGTTGAGAGCCACTGTTCTAGATGGTAATGTGGTATATGATAGCAACTCTGGTGTCAAATAGGCCCTGCGGTAAGTAGTATTTTTCTCCACCAAGATCTGCTAACATCAAAGCTGCCTCCAGCTTAACAAATCCTTCAGCTTCAGTCCCTATCATACCCAAGTAGGAGTGCCCGACTGCTTCAGACTGTCGTGTGGAGTATACGTAGGACCTTTTCCCTGGTCTCTCTACTGTGCTGGTACGCTTGCTGTTACTGTAGCAAAATAGCTGTGCCCATCCATCTACTCGTGAGGAGAAAGGGTTTATTTTGTTCTGGCAGATAGCAGCCCACGATCTGCTGGCTCTCTGGTTTTGGGGCCATGCTGAGGTGATTGACAGGGAGGAAGCACAGCAAAGCCTGTTCACCTCGTGGCTGGGAGTCAAGCGCCCAGAAGACCTTGTCTCATAATCAGCTTCAAGGATACACCCACAAAGACCAAAGATCTCCTGTTAGGCCCTGCTGCTCCCTGGTGCTTCCAAATACACGGGATTTGGGGGAGACATTCTGGATCCAAACCACAGCAATGCTGTTTGCCTTTCCCCGTGGACAGCTACTGCTGGGTCTTCTTAAGGCTGCAGTCTGTGTTAAGTCAATGTGACTAGTTGTCAACATGTATTAGCTTACACGTCTTTCTGGGTAATACAGATGCAAGTACTGCAAACACACAAACTGGAATAGCACTAGGAACCCCTTGCGTCATCATCAGCTCCAACCATCAACACCTGCCAATCACCTGCTCCCACTCCACCACTTGAGGACGTTGAAGGAGGTCCTAGACATGATATCATTCCATCTGTATTTCATCGTGTGTTTCTAAAGCACTTCTCTAAAGCATGACCTCAACATTATCCACATTCAACATCATCTACAACTTTACCAGCAGGGCCTGAGGGATGGCTCAGCAGGTGGGTGATGGTTCCCGAGACTAACAACCTGCCTTCAATCCCCAGGAAGTACATGGTTGGAGGAAGAGAATCAACTCCCGTAAGTTGTCCTCTGACTCCCACATGTGTGCTGTGGCACATTCTCATCCATGTACCTACACATATGAATGAATAAATAAACAAGTAAAGGTAATTACAAATAGAAATTTAACAACGATTCCTCACTACTTCCAGCCATAAAATTATTGTTTAATTTTCTCTGAGTGACTTAGGATTTTTCTTGCTTGAATTAGATCATGTGGTATAATCTGTGGATACGTTTTAATATGTAGCAGGGATCTTTACATTTCAGCATATATCAGATGACCTGGAGGTTTGTCAGAGGGTAGAATATTGGATTTTTTTTTTTTGAGACAGTGTTTCTCTATGTATCCCTGGCTTTCCTGGAACTAGCTCTGTAAATCAGGCTAGCCTCAAACTCAGAGATTCATGTGCCTCTGCCTCCCAAGTGCTGGATTTAAAGGACTGGGCCACCACTGACTGCCTTTGGACTGTTTATTTTTGTAGAATTTCTCACACTCTGGGTTTTCTATATAATCTTTTGATGTGCTCCTCTGTCCCTTCTCTCTCATATACAACTGAGGATCTATTCAGAAGTTTAATGAGATTTGGATTGGCTTTATTCTGAAGACTACTTTATTGGTGGATATGGGTATCTAAGTGGAAAATACACAGTATCTGTCTCTTTTTAAAAATTTTTTTTTAATTTGTGGCTAGAGATATGGCTTAGCAGTTAGGAACACTAGTTGCTTTGGCAGAGAACCTGGCTTCAGTTCCTAGAACCCACATGGAAGCTCACAACTTCCGTAATTCTAGTTCCAAGAGATCCAATCCCCTCTTCTAATCTCCTCCACCATACATGTGGTTCACACACTTGCATGCAGGCTACATACACACACACACACACACACAAAATGTAAAACACTTTTTAAAAGAATTTTATTTAGGTCAGGTGTGGTGGTGTACATCTTTAGTCCCAACACTAAAGAGGCAATGGCAGGTAGATCTCTATGAGTCTGAGGTCAGCTTGGTCTACACAGCGAGTTCTAGGCTAGCCATGGTTATAGAGTGAGACTCTGTCTCAAAGCAATAATAATTTTATATCTTGGAAAATATCTCCCAGAAAAACATCACCAATCCTGCTAGTTACAGTAATTCTTTCCTGGTTTGTTTGTTTGTTGTTTCTTTTGTCCTTAAGTTTGTCGTCATCAAGCATGAGTGTGTGAGTGTGGTGTAGTCTGTCTGCTTTTTCAGATCACTTACAATAACTCTTTGTGGCCATGGATCAGACTATAGTCAGAACAGTTGTAATTCACTTCGCTAAAATTTAAAAATATGTTTCACTTATTTATTTGTTTGTGAGGAGGTGGTGTGTGGCACAGCACACCTGTGGAAGTCACCTGTGGGACTCAGTTCCACTCTCCCACTACATAGTGGTTCCAGGGGTCAATCTCAGGTCACCAACCCTGGCAGCAAATGCCTTTGCCCACTGAGACATCTCATTGGCCCAAAGCTTTTAGCGATTGTTTGTTTTTTATTTCTTTAAATGTAATATGTGTGGATGTTATCCTTGCATGTATATCTGCATACCACATGTGTGCCCACAGAGGCCCCATCTCTCTATTTCCTCCCTCTTAACAGCCATTTTTCCCCTTTTATCTTTCTACTTAATATAGTGGGGCTGGAGAGATGGCTCCATAATTTTGAGCACTGGCTGCTTGCTTTTAAGGAGGACCTGGGTTAGATTCCCAGCAGCTCCCACACGGTGGCTCACAACTGTCTGTAATTACAGTTCCAAGAGATCCAACACCCTTTTCTGTGGTACACATACATAGAAATAGACACAACACACATATACATAAAATAAGACAATACAACTATGTTATTGATATTAATATAAATAAAATTTAAAGTAGAATTATATAACTTAATGACAGATGATAGCACGATATTTAATGCATCCTTTGATCTTTTTTTTTTTTAAATTGGCTATCACTCTGTATAGCCATATCCCGTATCAGTTCTCTACTGTGAGAATTTTCCATGGTTTATTCATTGAGTCCCTCGGGGTTGACAGGGTATTTTCAGTCCTTTGCCACTGAAAGAGTTACATCAGTGTGTAGCGTATTTCTGACTTCATGTCTTAGATGCCAGCATTTCCTCCGTAAGACACAGGCAACCTTCCACCCCTCTCCTGCAAAAGACAATGCATAGAAGGCCTTGTTCCTGAACTAAGGAAGGTCCCAGCAACACTGTTTTCACATCTGCTCTCACTGAGCAGACCCTGCTTTGGAAGCAAAGGCAGGCTCGAGTGGAGGGCTGTCGTACAGCCAGCCCATCTGTCTGTCTTGGACCTCTGAGTAGTAGTCACCAGGAAGACAGGAGCAGCCAGCCAGATCATGAGCTGTTGAGCAATGGAAAATTAAGTACAATTTTGGATGAGTTTTTTTTTAATCACTTTATTTTTAAATTGTAACATGTCCAACAGTAGCAAACAAAAAGGAAACTACGCCAAATCTCAAAATGCCATCCCAGGGTCACAGTCAACCTGACAGGTTTATAGTCTGAGGTCAGACTGGAATGCTTGCCATC